AATGTAACTTCCAGATGTCATTTCTAAGCATTTAAGAAAGGTTTTAAGTCTGACTTTTATACTTTCTGTAGTTTAAATGAATACTTTACACTTATACACATATTTCTAAAACAAAATAGTTTTCAACAAATTTTTCAACTAATACTACACGTAAAATTCCCTAAGAATATATTCTAATCACATTATCCTGAAACTTCTTCATAACCTGTAAGTAGTTACTGAGACACTTAGGTGCCAAAAGGATGCCACATTATGCTTATTGGCTGCCGCAGGTGATAGGGGAATGGGGGAGAGCTTGAGACCAGAAGGTCAGGTGACTTCATAGTTTCATGAAGTGGCACCAGAGGACGAGTTATTAAGGGTATGTTGCTAGTATGAAGAAAATGGGGGACCAAAGTATAGAATAATGAGGTCACATATGATGTGTAGACTGTTAAGTGATTCGCGGGTGAACCACCAGAGGGCGTTTTAAATCAATAGATATCAACTTGTCTCAACATATGCTTTCATTATCGACTTTATGCTTTCTACTTCAATAATAATGAAAGCCATAAAATTATTATTGTATCTAATTTGAATAACCTACTTTTTTTACAATTATATTGGTCCCGAAAAGGACTATTTTTCACATTAACCCAAAGTTGCAATCTCTAAATATTTATCACATACAATAATTTGACTTAACAATCCTACTGTTTTGTGTCACTGTATAAGTAAAACATTCAAACTCTTGATATGTGTTCTATGCAGCACAAAACAAAAGCTTACTTCAATTTCTTTAGTTCTTAACATTAGCTTTATTGTTTTGGTCAATTTAATTGCTTCAAATCAATAAAGAAAGCCTTAAAATTAAAATTACACTAATTTATTCTGTAGATGTGTATACCTGAAATGGAATATTTTGTATGGTTTGATAAGGGAAGTATTCAAACTCTACATATATAATGTATGTTCATTAATAATCTAGTATAAATTGGCTTTATATTTTATTATACTAACAAATCTACATAATCCTGAAAAAGACTATTTTATATTGTTTTATAAGTAAATTATTTAAACTCTGCATACATATAACACAAGTTTTGCTAATTATAATGTAGTACAATTTAACTTTATGGTTTATGTTTAATCATATTTATCATACTATGTATGTAATAATATAGCTCTGTTTTACATTTGTATGCCTAATTTTACCCACAAGGTACTAAGCTCAGTATGTTTATTTTTTTATCCATAGAATGGTAGCAACGTTTGTCCTTTTATAAAACGTAAGACTTACTGTAGAGCAAGATTCCATTCACTTAAGTAACCTTTTGATTTTTTTCTAACATAAGTTAGAATACCACACTTATCAACCAATGGGGACAATGCATTATGGACGAACTCACTGTTCTTTATTGAAAAGGATACATGGATAAAAATTTCATTTGTTATAATCAGAGTAGCAAAATTATTTATGTATGCTTGTCTTATAATTACAAAATCCAAGAGAGAGTTAAATGTTTTTCTAAGATTTAGATAGGTTTTATATTTCACTTTTTAAAATAAGTACTTTTGTTTGTCTGTATAAAGATACGTGAAAACAAATGTTGAACTTATCATGAGTCAGTTATGTTATAACACAGTTTACAGATCTCATGTTGCTATGTATATATATAATTATTATTCCATAATTATTTTTGTTTAACATCAGACATTTTGAAATCTAATGTAGTGCATAGTTATTGTATATCACATTTAATGTACAGTGTTTATCATTATAAAATATGCTTTACAACAAAAATATTTCATATTCACTAGACATTAAGAATTAAGTTTAGTCTAACTAGCAGATGAACGGATTTTGTATGCTACTAATGCTCAGATAAAATGACCTTATTGACTTTTTTACTTGACATAATGATACAAAAAGTTAAATGTGCATTTATGGCATTCTCTTTCTCAAGGTTTGGTGGTCCTGAAAAGGACCATTGATTATAAAACAAGTGATTATGCAAAATACTTATTTTCGGATGAGGAATATTTGTCATCTTCTCTATCTTCTGGATGGATCCTCATTTGCAAAACACGATGTTTTTCTTCAGAATACCAACAGCCCAATGCAATAATAATTAGGGAATATCGAATTATTCAATCATGTTTGGCCAGGTTATACAAATTTCCATAAATAAATCATATAGGACACTCACCAAAGATGACCATTGATTTCCTCTTCATTTAGAATCTTATTTATATCATGATATAAAACAAAAAAAAATCACTGGTTATTGTTTTATAATAAAAATATTGTTTGTCTACTGAATTTCGCGCAAAGCTACTCTATGGCTGTTTGAGCTAGCTGTCCCTAATATTGAAATGATATGTCAGAATGAAGGCAGCTAGTCAACTGATGGGCTACTCTTGTTAGACCGAATAATGGGATTTAAACCGTCACTCTTATAAATCAGCTTCCACGATCCTAAAGTGAGTAACGTGAAATTTTTTGTCGATAACGGAAAGCAAACCTCAGACCCCTAGTCTGAAATGTTGATCGTTAGGTCACATTCGGCCAGTAATAAAAATAATGTTCTTATTTTACATATTTGTTTATTTCATATATTGTTTAAGAATATGCTATTGTTTCTTTTTTCTAGTTTTTTCTTTTTTTATGAAACTAGCTTTATTATTGTTCTTTACTCCTTCGTTCATTGATTTCTGACAACTTGTTTTAAGAGTTTGCTAATGATGGAATATATGATTTCCCAAACGTTTTACGACACTGTATGAATATGTTTTTCCTTAAAACCACAGACTTTGATTTTATATTGATTATTATATTGATTATTTCCTGTGGCTCACCACTAAATTACTTATCAAGAATTAAAACCTGCGGCGGGTCCCCTCGTTGGACAGCGGTAAGTTTACAGACTTACAACACTAAAATCCAGGGTTCAATTCCCCGCGATGGACAAAGCATATATCTTAAACTGATTTTGCTCTAGAACAAATAAATTCTTCGGTGGGTAAAGCGTAGACAGTTCATTATGTAGCTTTGCACTTGAAAAACCAACAAATCACTGTGTTAATCGTTATTTTGTGTGAAAAGTTATCAGTTTGAATATTAAAGTTTTATGCACGAATATACATTATTTTCCAGTTCACAGGTGGAAATGTTTTTTTCTATAACTTCAAAAACCTAAAACACTCATCACAATTTTATGAAATTTGGCAATCATTAATCTATTAATTTATAGATAATCCTGAGGTAAGGCTCATAAATGACTTCGGTCTTCAGTTTAGTAACCATTTCTAGATTTAAGTATTATATAAGTAAAGGACTAGAACACGGGAAACAAAGCATGCCCTTGTAATCCCAACTTATCTGTAAGTAATTATTTAGCGAACGTTTATTGAAAACTGTGGAAAAAGAAATATTGGATACGATTTATTTTTCTAATATCTTAGTTAGATAGGTTTTATAGTTTATATTCCGTGTATAATGTCCCATCATGATCCAATTTATATTATCTTTATATAGTGCCGTCAGTGAGACTGATATGTATCGTAGAAAATACACAGTTTAAAGAGTGGCATTTCTTACACTCAGTCCTGTTGTACCACGTCTAGCTTTCTACCAGTATGTCTTCAAACAAGGAATATTAGGACTGACCGTAAAATTGTACATGTTTAAGGAGTTGGTCGAAAAGAATTAGATTGTAAAATGTCTTTATTTAGAAAATAATAACGATAGAGAAGTAGACTTTATCTCGTTTCACAAATACAAACCTCGAGAGATAACACATGGAAACACTGTGAACAATAATTCAAGTAAACTCATGATAATTAGGAAAAAAAATGTCCCGTGTTAAAGAAACCAAAAAAGTAAAACATCTATATCCAAATACATCCATGTAATGATATACGAAAATGTAAAGGTTTAGATAATGATATTGATAGCTTAGATGAAGTTACAGTTTAAACGCCGAAAACTGATGAAGCACTAGAAACCAATAGCCCTAAAATATGTGATTAAAATCACGTAAACTGAAGATGTTTTTTTTTTCACATTCCGCTTAGTTTGTCTATTTTGTATTGAAAATCAGGGGCGTGTAAAAATAGCGTTTCAGATCTGTCTTTTGTCTCCCATTACTTTTGTGTGATTATAAGCTTCTGATTCATCTTAACATTTTTTTCAAGGATTGATAATCTGAAGAGTTCGTTCATTTTTTTTTTATCCATCCCAAGCCCGAGGGATTGTGTTCCATCCCAATAACTGAGTGTGCTTGGGTAAAGTTCCTTATTGAATACTTTTTCACATGTTCAGGGGGAGTCTTAGGCATGTGTTGTAATGTTGTTGGTTAAACAATATGTAATATTTCTGAAGCAGGGGTAAATACTCAAGATTTAGCAACGAGCTTTTCATCGCTGTTTTAATGTGATCTGTTCTCAAAATCTCTTCTAGATACTGGTTGGTCAGACTATGTTCTCAGTAGAAGCAAAAACGTTCTTCAGCTCAAACACAGAGCAAAAACAAATAGTATTTACCAACATACACCTCTAACAAAAAAACCTGCCTACTACACTAAATTTTCTAATTTATGGTATTCCTAACATCCAAGATGTTCTTCACATAAGAAAATCGGTCTGCGTTTGGAGTTCTCGATCCAGATATGAACTAATACAAAAATGGACTAGTATTTAAATTTTGCATGGATGTCTAGACAGAAAGATAAATTTTAAATCTCACCTGTACAAAGGCAGATTTTCTTGCATATAAGATCTGTTTCAATTGAGTATTAAAATAGTAATATTATCTTCAATAAAATTATTTGAAAAGTGTTTTGCTCTACAGAAGCAAGTAATAATTACTGAACAAAAGATACTTAGGCTTAAATAAAAATATGGAATTAAAATCTATTATTTTGTGTAAAGTGATTTATAGATTAATGTAAGTAAAAAATCTTAATAATCAACAGTTTTTGCTTCTTTTATTTGAATCATGGTTTTTAAATAGTGAACTCTCATCCAACATTAGACATCTTATGCCCAACAGGTAGGCCTAGTTTGCTTAATACTGAAGGAGGAAGCCATCGGCAAAACGTATCAAACACTGGAGTTATCAACTTTGGATCCATACACCCAGGGTCACTTTTTCCTGTAGTTGTAAAAATAATAAGGTGCTATGAAATCATAAAACTCCACAGTTTAGTATTTAAATGAGTTATATATATATTTCAATATATAATATATAAATAAAATTGTTGATTAACCGTGTTAGCATGTTGGGAAATATGTCTGATCAGTAAACCTACAAAAAAGTAAAACTATGATTATTCCCTATAATTTGTATATAGATATATTTTTGGTAATTAAAAAATGAAAAAAAGTAAAATTCATATGCTAAACACATATAATCCTAAATATGAAATGATTTATTTTCTAATGGGTTTCGTAGCTGGATTTTTTTATTAAGAAATTTTAATTTTAAGAGAGATAGAGAGATAACATAAATTTAATCATACCCAACATCTTTTAACATACTGCTAATAATGCAGGGAACTTTAAATTTACATTATTAAATAATATCTTACCACGTATATTATAAAAATTTATTTAAACAAATAACACTTCAAACACATTTTTTCTTCTAAGTTGATTTGGCATAAATAAAGCAAGTTACTGAGTTGGATTACGAATCACTGTGATTTATAGCGTATATTATAAAAGTTGTTAAGTTTAAAGTGACGAAAAACGTACTGACTGTGGAATTACTGTATAATAAAAGTTTGTATCGAGAATAAACTGGTTCAATTAAAAAAGGACTTGTATCACTGAAGTTCCTCGAAAAGAATTGATACCGGAAATTAACAAACAAGCAGATACGTAACAACAATTTAAAAAAGACCTAAGCTTCAAAAGCTAAAATCATACCTGTTAGTAAGCTAATAATAATCCCCGAGAACAGCACAAAGAAGATACTTATGATGGTGAACCATACGTACGACAGTCGATAGATGACTAGAATGTTTTCACTAAATGAAGTAAAAAATTATTATAATACTTACATTTTGTCTGTCCTGAAAATGCGTGCGCACCTTACTATCTAAATGCGCGTGCGCGCTTTACTTCATTTCATCGGGTGTAAACAAAAACCAGATGTAAATATACTTCGGTAGACACATTAAAAGCGTATCAAAGTTTTTAAAGAGGTCAAACAAAATATTATTCTACGACCTAACGAGTTTATTTATTGATAGTATTAAGTATGGTAAAGTTTAGTCCTAACTAAACTAAAGCAAAAAGCGTACACAAGTTTCAGTGTTAATTTATCTTTTTTATCGAATATAAGCCGTAATTTAATAAAGGCTTAACTAAAGTTAGGCCTAAGACTAGTGGAGTTACAGATTTTAGTGTCTGCGATTAGAATTAATTTGTTTTATTCTAGAAATCTTGTATTTGAGGAAGTGTTGTTGTAATAATGATACTAATTTGAACGCAAATATTTTGTAGATCTATGCTAGTCCTGAATAATATTTATTTAGATTTCTAACTGCAATTTCACAATAATTATGAACCAGTATGCCAATTATTACAATACGCCAGATTGATAAACATACTCAGGATCTATCACACTTAAAAGGAGGATCTGTGTTATATTATCTGCATTCTGGTAATCTTGGGCGTAAATTAATGAAGTTAGTTTTGATGGTGTATGTGAGAGTAATGGCGATTATGAAATATATAGCTTACAGTGTCTTAAATAAAAACACACTCCATTTTTCTCTCTTTTTCGACCAGAAAAACACATATTTACATAATACTGTTCTTTAGGCCACAGATATGGGGTGTGGCAATTAAGCCTATGCATCTCATATCCAACCAGAAGACACCAATATCTGGAGGATATTATGACTCTAACATGATAATTCAAACCGCAGATACGATAGGCACCTACGCTTCCGCAATTTTCGTTTTTTCTTTTTCAAATTCTGTTTAAGGATTTGTAAAATGTTCCTCAACCTAAGAAAATGATGAAACTAAAGAGACGATAGAAATGTTATTATTACACTCTCTAGTTCTCAAAATGGAATCGCCACACTTCATTTAATATGTTCTGGTCGGGCTTATTAAAGATGAGATATAAAAATGGAAGGAAGGGGCTTCTTGTTTAAATTTATTCATACTAAAAATAATATCATGAAACTGATGTGATGCAGCTGTGGATATTGGTAATAGAACTGGATATT